GGTGACACATACACAAGGATAGACAACGGAGACCGAGGTGACACAAACACACATGGATAGACATCGGACACCGAGGTGACACATACACACAAGGATAGACAACAGGGACTGAGGTGACACATACACACAATGATAGACATTAGGGACCGAGGTGACACAAACACAATGATAGACAACGGAGACAGAGGTGACACCAGCACACAAGGTTAGACAACAGGGACCAAGGTGACACAAAAACACAATGATAGACAACGGAGACCGAGGTGACACCAACACACAATGATAGATAACAGGGACAGAGGTGTCACAAACACAACGATAGACAACGGAGACAGAGGTGACACCAGCACACAAGGATAGACAACAGGGACCGAGGTGACACAAACACAATGATAGACAACGGAGACAGAGGAGACACCAGCACACAAGGATAGACAACAGGGACCGAGGTGACACCAACACACAATGATAGACAACAGGGACAGAAGTGAAACCAAATCTTAAGGGTAGACAACAGGGACCGAGAACTTAGGTGTAACCATTTTAAAAGGCACCTTTGGGAAATAACAACAGGAACTGACAACAGGGACCGAGTTGACAACAATACAAAATGAAAGAAAATAAAAACAGAGGGGACACCAAAACAAAAGGAAAGACAACAGGGACAGGACACCAAAACAAAAGGAAAGACAACAGGAACAAGACACCAAAACAAAGAGCATGGTAACAGGGACAGAGGAGACAACAAATCAAAGGGAATAACTACAGGGACATATGAGACACCAAAACAAATGAAAAGACAACTGGAATAGGCCAGCCATCAAAAAAAAAGGAAAGACACCATAAACAGGTAACCAAAACAATAAGGAAAGACAACATGAACAGGACACCAAAATAAAGAGAAGACAACAGGAACAGGACACCAAAACAAAAGGATAGACAACAGGAACCGGAGACCAAAACAAAAAGAAAGACAACAGGGACAGGACATCAAAACAAAAGGAAAGACAACAGGAACTGGACACCAAAACAAAAAGGAAGATAACAGGAACAAGACACCAAAACAAAAGGAAAGAAAGACAACAGGAACAGGACACCAAAATAAATGGAAAGACAACAGGAACCGGAGACCAAAACAAAAAGAAAGACAACAGGGACAGGACATCAAAACAAAAGGAAAGACAACAGGAACTGGACACCAAAACAAAAAGGAAGATAACAGGAACAAGACACCAAAACAAAAGGAAAGAAAGACAACAGGAACAGGAAACCAAAACAAAAGGACAGACAACATGAACAGGACACCTTTTTTTTTAAAAACAAAAGGAAAGACAACAGGAACAGGACATCAAAACAAAATGAAAGACAACAGGAACAGGACATCAAAACAAAATGAAAGACAACAGGAACAGAGGAGACACCAAAACAACAGGAAAGACAACATAGGTCTGCATCAAAGACAATAATTTAATGTAAAGTTTTTAGTATTGCGTTGTCTGACTAGTAAATGTTTACCATTCTGTAATATATGTATCAAGCCAACCTAATATTAATTGACTATCTAGTCTTCTCGGCCTTAACACGGGTATCCCTGACCCTTCAACACAAATACATATCCTCTTAGTCTTACTTAGGATGACTTCATCAAAGTCATCGAGTATGCTAAAAACACTCAATTTATTCCATTTACTCGATATTTTAAAGTGACGGTGATACCAATTATTCAGCTTTAACGTCCAAATAATGTTTTTTTCCCCATTAAGCATTATACAAATAAAATGTATATCCCATGATAAAATATTGATTGATTAAAAATATATCTAAAGAAGTTTGACATGACTTGAGATCATGTAGGTAACTAATTGCTTTCAAACTGTACTTATTTGCTTCTGACGTACCAAGCGAAACATTTAACATAGACTGGATCTAATTACACATTCTCGTCCCATAGTAAAGCGTCACATAGACTGGATCTAATCACACATTCTCGTCCCATAGTAAAGCGTCACGCCATGACGATTACATCAAATGATTTAAACAAACGCACGATTCCCCGAACACTTGTTAACAAGAATCGGATGAGTTCATGGAGCATACAAACTTGAGCAACGTTCTCCAAATCAATACATATTGGAATCTTTCTCTGCTTTGTTTAGTCGATATTTCAAGAGAATGATTGAAGTGATGGGTTCCCACGGGTGATGTGAGACAGAGATAAAAATTAATAAAAAGTCAACAGTAGTAAGATATCGACACTTTGTTGTTAAATATAAATGTGTTTTTTTATGCACGAACGGCTCTGCTATGTTTTGCCGTTAAAAGGTGAGCAATTTTTCACGGATGAACATCATGATTTCTCTTGTGTATCGGTACAATACGACCCAAATCGCCAATCAAAACGGCCGCCCCTTTTATTAGCGGATGCACGCTATGAACTAGATAGAAATCATCCCCGGGGGTAGAAAACTACTTTGTTGACTAAACTCAAACAACAGTACATTAAAAAAAAAGGTTCGATGTTGTGGACTTAACGTTCGTATAGTGATGATGATTGTTGAATAACGTTTGTATGTTCTATCCCGTGGACATCCGACACGTGTTTCCCAATGGACGTCCGACAAATGAGACATTACTTAACACTATCGTGATATAAAAAATACAAATATACCGGATTGCGGCATGACAACTTTGGATTCCTACTCAAATGGTTCACTGTAGTTTTTCACACTTGGCCTTGTCTGTGTATTAGAGCTTCAGGATATTGCTAATTTTCTCCACGCCTTTGTTTCAATGAAATATTTCTCAACATTTGAGTAGTTTTAAATTCTATTGGTAATGTTATCTGCTATTTAAAACTAACTCATTTTAACACGAATGTTTTCAGTTTTAGATCCTATGTGTCAAACAACACAAATCCAACCTAGAAAACGTCTGTAAACATAAATACCCTGTTGGCCTTGTGGTTGACCTATATGTTACAAAAATGACATTTGAAATACCCTGAAATACGAACTTTACTGGCGTTTTTTAATCACTGACTTGTGTATGAACTTAAATCTGTGAAGAGATTATGTCGCTAGAGACATGACAATGAATCTGGACGGGACGTGAACGGGACGTGACGGGATGGGACCTGACGCGACGGAAAGGCACGGGACGATACGGACACGCATAACACTATATGCCCCCACAGCCACAAAATGACAGGGGACATAAAATCGACAAGGTTACATCCCCCATCCCACCAAACGTATCAATGAACCAGCCCGCGCTAAACTTATCAAGTCAGCGCACAAAAAAAAGATCCTGTAATGCAAATAAGTTGACAAAGAAGCATTTTGCCAATATACATGTAAGAATTTCAATTTTAACGATTTTATAATAGCGTAATACAAAATTTCGATAATCTCAATTTCAGCACAAATGCATTGGTTCTATTGGGTACCAGTCACATGTCTGTTACTTTTTCTTTGCTGTTTTACGTGTTATCAACTACATCGATAACTATACTTTCTTTGGAGGGCACTGTTCGTTCCTAAAAAATCCCATTGAACCGGTTTGAACCACCATTGTAATATATACTCGTATTCCGTAAATAAAAACATGTTAAATATGTATATTGGGAAATCATTACTCAGTTAATCAGCTCACTCAATTATTATAACACTTTGCGGGAACCCCGTTTGTTGTAGAATCCTTTTTTTCCGCAACTTCATAACACCACCATTCGTCCTACGTAGGATCTGAGGAGGTTCTGTTATATAGTTAGAACTGTTGTTCTGTTCTCGCTGCAAGTCGCGAGCGGCGCTTATTATGGTTATTTTGGTTTTCCTTCCCTTGTTAACACGTTTTCACTCTATTTATGTCTTTCTCAATATACACATACAGTAAAGTATATGCTTACATGAAAACTGTTCCACTCAATGTATGTGACCGTTATTCCGTCAGGAACTATAGGTTTCCTCACTTCCGACTTTCTAGATTAGCCTGCTGGGATTTGATAACACCCTGGACGTTATTGCATTAGTCAATATGCAAGTTGTGAGTCAATTTTATTGTAACCATGATTTCCAACGTCATCTTCCATTGTGACGTCATAGTTCATGACAATTGTTTCCCTGATCGGAAACAAGAACAATTTATTACATTTTTGCCAGTGAAATATCGGATTCTATCAACTTGATAAAACTGATACCTTTCACACTGTGACAAATATCAAAAGTCACTTTTTCGATATTGACCAATCATAACGGTATTTTCTATTCGCTGCATTCAAAGGCAACGATTTTTTGTTCAGATTCAAATGAAGCGACGGTAGAATAAGTGATTGTTATGGTAAATGTTTGGCACACACACTTAAGTATTTACATAATTATATAATTGATAACAATTTTATAAGCAATAATAACAGAAAATAGCAGAAAACGTCGGAATTGCGTTGAGTATCCCATTCAAAACGGCGCGCAGCATGGTTGTCAAGTGTGACGTCATTAGGATATGGCGCTAAATATTACGCTCCTGATTGCCGCCCGAAAATGTAATGGTATCTTCAGTAAAACAAATATATTTCACTCGTGTGGCTAATTTGTTATTAATAACGACACCATCAAATATCCTCTATGTATTCCAAACAAAGAAATATGGTTTTCTAGATATACATGTAATATCTGAAAGTTGTATACAGGAGAAAATGGTGTATTTCGTGATGGTATGGTTGATTAGCGTGTTTATCTAAGTTTTGGATTGTAAAAGGCACTCGGTAAACCTCGTGTCTTCATTTACTAACTCGAATTAAATAAACCGGACAATCAACCAGCACTCATTGAGGAATATCTTTAACTACACTATTTTCACCGGTTTTAAGAAATACGTCAAATGAAAACAAATCTTTTACTCACATTCCTTTATCTTACATGAATTACCACAAACGTTACAGTCAGTTTAATGCTTAAATAAATGAGAGATGTATTGGAAAGTTTGTGGAAGAGACCATTACTTACCAAACAGCAGAGCTAATACGTCGCTGAGGGCTAGACTCGCCAGATAGTAGTTCGTCACGGTGTGCATGTAGATGTTTTTAAAGATCACAATAAATGTGCACAAGTTACCAGCTATTCCTGTGAGAAATATGGTGATGTAGACAGCAGTCAACAACCCCCCAGTGGTCAAATCCTTCGTCCTATTGCCAAGATTTGAAATGATAAATTTTTGCAAATCAAATTCTTGCCACTCACTGCTTGTCGCGTTCGTCAGAGGAGACGTGAAGTCAAACTTAGTACTGGTGAAGTTATCCACGAGACGGATTTCTGAATAGGTTGTGCCATTTGACATGGTACTTATCATATGAGAATCTTTGGCAACATTTCCTGATCTTGTTAACCTAGTGGAATAAATTACGACATTCACTTCTCTTAGAGGCTGTTACGTTGCAAACAAACGCCAAAATAATCTCATTGTCTGCTCGTTACAATTAATTTTCTCGACACTTACCGTTCTTAATTGTTCTTTACAGTCTTTTTATTAATGAGCAACACATATCCAAGACGTTTACACAGTAGAGAACTTTCCAAACAAACAATCGCGATGAATTTAGTCAGTATCCTTATTTACAAAATCCTATGTTTTCAACATTGACTAATTGCTTGGAATTTCACCGGCAATTATGTTGTCAACTTGACAATTTCGGCAAATTTGGAAGACGTATTCCAATAGAATGAGTATCGTCCAACATCTTTGCAACGTCCGTCTCCCAGAAGTTTTGGAAACAACTACTCGTAAACTTTGAGTATCGTTCAAACATCTTGCACACAAATTTTACAAACAAAAAAACTGCTTTAAGTTCGGGTAGAGTTTGAGTACCGTCCAGATAGCATGGTCCGAAATGGTGTCAATATTTGTCAAAGTGACCGTACATTTGTTCATAATACTTTAACAAATACTCCAATAGTTTGATTACCGTTTGTAGTACAAGCTTTCGCCTAGAGTAACTTGAGTACCTTCACATCATCGCGGTATCTGTTCACACCTTTATCAATGCATTACAGTTTGGCCGTCGCTGTACGCTCTCGTACAGTTCACATCGACAAACAAGACAGGGCGATAAGTGATCAATGTGCTTGCCTCCTTTACGTCTCGATGCTATGCGAGGTCTCCATTCCTCTGCCAGTACAACCATGTGAGTATACACGACACTTTCCCCTTCGACAATCTCACCACCAGGCACCGCTCACTACATCTGTTGCAGTGACAACAAATCTAATTGGTTAGGCCATTCATCCTGCGGCCGTTCTCGGTTCACTGAGCGCGCGTTGTTGATACACATATATATATTTATAAAGATACACACACTTATAATATAGTCATGATTATTTTTTTCAGTCATGAATTAAAATTAAAAAGCATGTACAAAGGTGTATTGTTCTAATAAACGTGATTCATACACACAGACACAATACTTGTTAATGAAATACCATATATACATGATCATTGTACGAAGCGCGCAGGCTCGTTTCTTGACCTTTTTATACCATCATTGTCAAACGAGACCAATGGTGGGTTTCTTTGGGATAGTAATTGATTTAATGAAACACCTTCAGTCCGCGTTACTATGACAACCACGCTGAGGAACATTCTAAAGTGGCGATTAATTTGTATATATTTTTGATGCCATAATCACGTTTTTCTTATTACCAGGACGTCCACCTTTAGCCACGTGATGTCGAAATTGCGCCCACATGACACCCACGTGATGCGGGGTAAATAGGCCTGGTCTCTAGAAACTAAGCAAACATTAACGAATCGCAAAGAAACTTTATTTTATATACTTAGTATTTAAATGCGCGTGTTTTGGTGACTCTCTCCGATAGTAACGTGCTAACATTAATTAGTGTTGACCTTACATTTTGTTCAGGGGAGGTTCATATTAGCCGTCTACCCTAGAAAAGTTGAAACGGAATGCAGAATTACGTTATAGATTTATCAGCCTACCAACCCAATAGAACAATTCACTTCCACAAGAGTTGAAAATTAAGTTAAGTTTCCAGTAAGTACAACACTATGGAAATGCCAATTGGTTTTCATTAAAAACATCTTCTTCAAGACGTGGTTACACGTGTTAATTGGTTTTTGGAAATCGCTCGTTTCAGAAAAAACCCAATAAATCGACCGACATCAATGTTCAGGTCATTTTTTCCAGGAACAGGGTCACGTCAGGTACAATTAGGTCGGTTACCGCACTTGATCTTGATAATCCTGTATACCTGACAGACTAGTCGTGATCAGTTATTATGATTCCAGTCAGGGAGTTGTAAAGGCCCCATTTATACATACACCATTAGATGTAGATTGGTTTTACAGATTCGGGTAGTAATCGTATCTGTATTGTTCCAAAACAGAATCTGACTGGCTCTTAACATAAGCTTTCATTTTTGTGAAGGTATCATTACACATAAATGTACTCTTTGTTGATGAAAAGATTGCGTTAAACCATGACAACATTTGCCTCCTATATATATATACAAGTCCAACCAACCAGTCTAGGTTCTGATAGTTTACCGACAGTGTTGATGAAACATAATGAGCATGCTATAAGCTGATTAACGTGGCACGTCAAAATCACCTAAGATTTCGTGGTTTTTTTACATACTAAATATTGTTTTTATTGTCATTTCGGCGTTTTCCGATTTTAATACAGCCCAGAGCCCGCGTTAGTAATATATGATTATTATTTTTCACTTAGATAAAATACATGCTGAATAAGAAGCAATTTAAGCTCGTCCTGTAAAGCATATGCTATCGCGCTGCATCCTACCCACCACCTAAGGCGCCGCAATTCCTGAAATATACCCATGATGTGGCATTTGCTAAAATAACAATAATATTTTTTTTACAAAAATCCAATCTGTTGAACTGCGTCGAGAACTATGACTGCCTTAGAAAGGAGTTTGTTTTGCAGACCGAGTAACGATGCTGTGAATATCTTTGGTTTTACAGCGAGTGACACCGTTCGGAAGTACAGCATTCGTATGATGAAGAAACTTACTCAACAAACGGAAATGATGCTATTCGGATGCTGTCGATGTAACGCGTGAGAACCCGAAGATTGCTTTCACTGATATGGCCTTTGTTCTCCGGTCCATATTCAAGGCCTCACAGCATCTCGTGGCTATCCTACACTCTAATCTGTATCTCTTGTCTGTCTAGTACGTCCATATCCGAGATTGTCCAAAGTGATTAATGGTAATGCTCCGGACTGGTCAGTCTTCTATCAATCAATGTTAATCCTACTCTTGACCGAATGACCTAAATGCGGTTGCCATGGTAAAGTACATGACCCTGATATGGACAAAATGTAGATGTCAATCGTATGGCTTGGAAACGGATAAGCTTAATAAGAATAGACATGATTTAGATAGTCTAAACTTCCCTTATATTCGTCTCCAAATTTAGAATACATCATTAACTTAGGCGACAACATGTATTTACAACAAAGCGCATGCGTAAAATATTCAACATCCGGTATACTTTATTCAGGATTAATGGATTGAACTGATTTATATAGGAAAGATATGGAGACAACTTTCGTTCTCATGAAATTTGTTTTTTATTGCTCACAAATAATTCATCTATAATATGTTTTACGGCACGGCCGTTAGTGAGGGCGGAGCCAGGTTGTACTGTAAATGTATCGGAATATCGGTACTGTACTCTTTCAAACATTGAGTGA